GGGGTGAACAATTGAAAGCCCTTAGAACCAGGGTGTGACACACACACACACACACTTGAATCTGCCCTTTGCCGTCCAAGATTCACATGCGCCAGGAAACGAATTATCAAAGGCCAGTCATCAGGTGAGGCGATGACTTCATTCTGCTTGCCTAGAAGCGACCCTTTCGCTATGTTTACAAGACGTGACAGTCCGACACTGTGATCTGATATATATATATATATATATACCGATGCAAAACGTATTTTTTGCTCGCTCACTTACTGGACAACATTTGGCAAAAACATGCAAAAACCAAAGTCGCTGAAGAGATCTGAAGAAGGACCGGACAGACCTTCCTTCCTATTTTGTTATTTGCTTCATTTGGTTTCTAATAGCGATGGCCTCCAACCTAGTAATGGTGGCCTCCAACCTAGTAGCGATGGCCCCCAGATTGTGAAAAGATTTGCTCACTTCGCCAAGCGGCTTTTTGTCAAGAACTCTGGCCCAAGCCACCAAGCTGTAAGCTGTCGGCTTGGCAAGTCCACTTTCAAGCTATCAGTCAGACGACTCCATTGATCCGGCGTGATGTCCTCAGGAAAGCATGTTTGCTAACTTTGAGCAGTTCGAGTAGCCAAGCTGCCTTTGCACTTCTTTCAATTGGCTGTTGTGTTTATAGGCTATACTCATTGATACATAAGCAGGATTGAAATGTGGTGCCCCAGGCATGATACGCAGTGGTTTGTAGTATTTGCGCAAACGCATCAGAATACTTGCTTGAAGAGTGCATTTTTGTCCGGGTGCTCAGTGCTCAGGAAGTATGGTGTTGCTAGGTACGCCAATGTTAAATGCACATGTCAAAATACTGGTCAGGAACCAGAACCGCCTGATCTCACGACCATCAATCGTCGGGCTGCCCTTTTCAACTCCAATCACTTCAAACAAAGTGTGTGTGACATCGGTCGGGCTAAGGCATAGTTTTGGCCGGCCAGAAGGTCCACTTGACATAGTTTTAGCCCTTTGGCTCTGCAATTTCACTGCCTGGCGTGTTCCCATTCTTCGACGTACGGACCACGCAGCTATGTCTGTAAGATCGGCGAAGGCATAGGAGGCGGCGTCGCCGGAATGTCCTCATAGCCTTGTGGGATTTCAGCAAAGCGGGGCAGTCAAGCTTGCTCTGAGAGCTATGAAAGGCCATTGTCAAGGCACTTGGACGCTTCAGTCATTGCTCCATGCTTGGAAGTTCAGCACAAGCTCGGGATGGGCCCACGAGAGGGGCCTTGGGAGTAAAGATTTATTTCGTCTTATTGGGAGTCCAGGCACCACCCTGGAAGGTGAGGCAAACTCTTCGGTTCTGAACCACAGGAATCCATAAATGTGCGATGCATTAGCACTTTACGTTATACTTACTGCGCAATTGAGTGTTTTATGATGTTTTATGCGCGACTGCAAATTTTTGCCTAGCCTTGAAAGGTGCACACACTCAGCCACCTGCCCACTTGTCCACCTGCACCGCAGCTCGCCCTACCACAGCACTGCATTACTGTACCATACCACTGCATCCCGCGCCCTGCCCCTCTCCCACCTGAACAAAACCACGATTCGATGCCCCTTGAATTCATATAGATATACAAGTTGCTGTCGCAAGCGTATCTTGGCATGCTCGCCAAGCTTCGAAACAAAAGAATGGGTCGGCGTCCTCAGGGGCGACTCAGGACTCAGGTTGCCGGTGGGTCAACCGTCTCTCCAACTCCATCTACAAGCAGAAGCATGTGATCCTGTGGTGTGCATGTCTACTCAATGCTTACAAGCTGGCCTTTCTACTTTTATCCAGCTTATCCAAAAGCCCATCAACTGCAACTGATACGACATACATAATCTAACATTTTGAGAAAACACAATCATTGTCAACCCCATGATGCCGCTCAACTCGTCAAAGCGTGACAAGATTGCTTCAACTTCCCTCTGCAAGGGATTTACGTCCTGACAAATATCATCCACTACCTCCACAGCACCGGTGATCTGATCTGGAGCATAAAGGACATCCTGGTTTCTGCTGCAAACAAGGTGGCTCCACTGGCCAATAAAGGTTAACATGCGGAAACATGGTAGAACGACGATGGAGAAACTGAGGTTGGATCTATGTAGCCATCACCATCTTCATCTTTTGGCACATAGTGCAAATTGCCAGGCCGGAAAACAAGCATGTGCCTCAGCAAAAACTTTTTGGTTGCTTACACGCTTGCATTTCTAGAGCTGCTGTCCTCTACAAAAGGTCTCGTGCAGCATGTTACTTTATGGGAGACAATTGCATCCTACGGTCCTACAGAACTAAATCCAGTGTAAGACGTAACATGTCAAACAGAGATCACAGGGCAAAAACATGAACTTCATCATTGGCGGCATGGTGCTCCGCGGCGCCCACCACTTTGACATACTGCATCTGCTTGCTTTCCTGCGATTTCTGGAAACACACAGACCTTGGACAGTTGAAACAGTACAGAGTGTATCCCTTAAGCAGCCACAATGATGGGCACTGCGCAAACCACTGGCATATTATATATATACATCAACTCGAAGAGAGAGGGAGAGAAAAACAGGAGAAAGAAAGAGTGAGAGAGAGAGGGAGGGCGAGCGAGAGAGGGAGGAAGGGAGGGAAAGTGCGTTTGAGAGTGAGACGCAAGAAATCAAACAGGAAAATAGGAACGGGAAAGCAACAAAAAAGAACACATGGGCAACATCATGGGGTCAGTAAAGTTTGGGGAGGCTGAAGCTAGCAACTAGAGCGTACAAACATGGTGAGAAAAACACGCATAAACATCATACGCATAACACACGGTAACACCGAGGAGTATCAAGGTTTCCCCTTGCCCGGTAACTGCTGTATCCGTTATGTCACGCGCACCGGTGATGAGGAACACAACACGGTGATGGAGCCAAACCATCAAAAAACTACGCTGTGTATTGTCAAGAGGTCAGCTGAGAGCAGCGCACTGGTAGCTTCGAAGATTGCCGGGGTTTGATGTGGGGGAACGACGTTTCTTTGACATGCTGTCTGAGTGTGCACACCCAAATCACCGTACAGCTGTAGCCAAGACCGTGTTTGGGCAACTGAAAGGACAAAGTCTAAAGGCAGAAGGAAAACACGTTCGCTAAGCCATCTAGACCAAACACATCAAAGATGGTGTGAACATGCCATCCGCACGAACTTGACGTTTTGCTCGTGGGCTTGTCTTGGGGACCATTGCGTACCTCTGTCTGGAACAGAATGCCCCATGTGCAAACAAACAACTGTGCTTCACTAACCTAACATAATTTGAAAAAAACACTCTCCACATGATACTTGTAACGAGTGATGATGCAAACTTCTGGGATACCAACATGCTATCAATACTGTCCGAATAACATGTAGAACAAAGATTGCGCACAGTGTTGCGCCGTCATCTTTTAGCCCTTACTGCAGATTAGACCTTGACTTGCAGAACCGCAAGAGTGAGTGAGCCCGCATCAACAGCATTGTTTGAACAAAGGTGAAACGGAAATGAAAGGATGTCTTAAAAATCGCAGGTCCGTAACTCCAGCGTCCCAGAGTTTTTTTATCACAAGCGAGAGATAGGTGTCTTTGTTGGCACCTGCCCTATCTCTGCTTCAGGCGCCCCCTGCGTGGAGAAAGGTGTGGTGCCTCTAAGGTAGCTAGGTAGTATCCCTGGAAGCGGAAGGTGACACACACCACAATGTCTCAGCCAGGATATCTGGACCTCTCAGCTGTGATTAGTTGCGATCAAGGTAGTAATGAATCAGTTGTGATCAAGGTGATGCTTGATTAGTTGCAATCAAAACTCTTGTAGCAAATCATTGACTGCTTGTATTTGAAAACAAAGCAGGGACCCGCTGGACAGCGAAAACAGCAGATTGAACAAACGCAAGAACCACTGGTTGAAACAAATGCACTGGCGTCTTCGCTATCAGACGTTCTTTCATTCAGAACCCTCGAGCGGAAGGCACATGCGTTCCGTGATGCGGTGGAGACAGAAGCGAGTCTCCAGGCGCTTGTCACGAATTCTTTTGCGCGTGCGATGATGGATAACCGCGTTGGCGGTACATCTCCAACAACACAGAAGTGGCTGCGTTGGCAGCAAACAATGGAGTATTGGGCATGCTCATGCAGCTCTGGGCAGGGGTAAAAGTACGCGGTACCGGTACAAACAACCAGCGCAACAAAACGATCGGAATCGGAACTCTTGGGTTGGCAGCGCGAATTCAACGGTGCAGAGTTCAGGTGAGACATTGAAGCCTAAAACTGCATGGTCCTTTTCAAGTTGTACAGGGGCGCGTAGAAGCCTAGGTCTTCGAAAGATCAGCCTGTTATCAACATGTCTGCAAATTAACAGTGGGTCACTATTGCTTTAAGAAACAACAGCAAGACTAGCTAAGCCAGGTGATACTTGATTCCCAATCGCAGATCAGTGCGCTTGACAAAACGCGTCGTCCAGTTGGACAAAAATGGATGCGCGGAAGCTGAGATACCAAGGGCAAGGATGTCGCTGGTAACTTGCTTTTCGAAATTTTTCTGTCCTTGCATTGAAAAATCAGAACAGAACAGCTGGCTTCGGAAGGGTGACAGACATCCGTTTTGGAAAACTGAGTTGCAACACATATAGAATGGCCTTTAAGGTGCGGTCGACAGGGATGCGTGTCAAGAAGCCAACGAGATCCTGATTTAACAGTTCCAGCCGGATATCAGGAGCCACGTGTGCGAAACAAGCGTGAAGCTTTTGGAAAATACGGGGCAGCCCAAGACCGAAGCTGCTTGGCAGCGCAAGATTACATGACCGCGCAATCACCAATGCTTTGACCAGCTTTGCGAAAATATAGCCCCGGTTGCACATGATGGGTCTGGCAACAAGAAACTTCTTTTTTCTTTAGAAGCATATTCCAACTGTACATGTTGTGGAGCTTTGTCCATAGAGAAGGGAAAGCGACAGCGACGCTGCCCTCCTTTATTAAATGGAAATCTGACAAGAACTCACGGAGCCAGAGGATACGGCTTCGAAGCCAACGACGCGCAAGTGCTGGAAGGTGCCAACGAGCCAGTAAAGGTAAGAGGACGGGCGGAAGGAGGTATGACCCCACCCTTGAACTCAAGGGCTTTCCCGCTTTCCCCAGCAGCTGTTTTACACTCCACCTGGGGTCATCCAGGCTATTTGCCAATCTGTACAGATAGTAAACACGTGGGTGTATTCTGCTCTTTTTTTTGAAAGGTCAAGGTCTTCAAGGAGCTGTGGTGTAACAAAGCAAAACCGAATGAACAAATCAAAGGCTTGGTTCCTGGTCATAATCTGTTTGAAGGCATCCTTGAGCTACACAGCCGCGAGCCAAAGTATACCACGTTTTTTGGTCAATACGGAGAAGCCTATAAAAAAAGCTGGGACACTCCGTCTCTCCCGGTGCAAAGGAACAACGAAGTAGACATACAAGGAAATGGATAACCAGGGCAAACCTGAGCACAAACAATTGGGCCCACGACTGGCGTGAGTACTGACAATGCGAGGTCTGGCTGAAGTGGGTCAAACCTCCTGTCAAACACGAAGGTTCTTTATGATCAAATTTGCAGGAGAGGGTGGCGAAGCTGCCTGCTGGCTTCTGCGTGATAGTTTCTGGTGAAAGTGCTCATCAGGTAAATGTCCGGGTCCCAAGCACAATGAAGGGATAATCGGATCACACTTCCCGCCCATAGTAGGGAGGCTGTAACGCCCGGGAGCGAGGACAAGTTAACACACTTGAAAGCCCCCTGAGGACACGAATGTCTCAGCCAGGACATCTGGACCTCTCAGCTGTGATTAGTTGCGATCAAGCTAGTAATGAATCAGTTGTGATCAAGGTGATGCTTGATTAGTTGCAATCAAAACTCTTGAAGCAAACCATTGACGGCTTTTATTTGAAAACAAAGCAGGGACCCACTGGACAGCGTAATCAACAGATTGAACACACACCGCAGGTACGTTTTCACCCAGGTGAGGGGTTGTCTTCCTTGGCCGGAGACCCCCCACCTGGCTCCGGCCCCCTGCTCTTGTTTTTGATTTGCATCTAACTCGATGCATGCAACCATATGTGTCTGCGTTGGCAGTCTTTAGATCTTGCTGGCTTTCGGACAACTCGAGAATTATCGCTTAAGGATATCCGTTAACGCTTGACTATCCCTGGTTCTGCCAAGCTTGCCGCCATTCTAAACTCGGGTGGATACTGTACATATGTCTGCATTCCATGCAATGACCTAGTATTAAGAGGGTAATCTACGTGTTTCCGGGCTTCATCCAAACTTCTCCAACCTGCGACATTCACTGAATTGGACGTTGATGCGTGCAAATAAGATTAATTAGTAGTAACTATTGGCATACTTACCCCTGCCAAAAGTCCTCCAGCAGGTGTTCATTGTCATCAATCTACAAGCAAAAAACTGGAAACTCAGCTACCTTTGGCATGTTCATGATGAACTTGAAGAATGAAAGCATGTTTGCAAATGCAAATTCATCCCTGACCGAGAGTACAGAACACTGATGACAGCTTGTCCTGGACAGTGTACGCAAGTGATCTTGTAATGGCCCAATATGGCTCAGAGACATTGAATAAGCCCATGCTGGCCTCTCAAGGAGCAGGCTGTGACCCGGCATGCTCAACTATTCTCTGCCATTGAGATTTGGTGGACAGGTGACAGGTCGCTGCCATTCTCAAACAGGCCTGTACACTGAGCATGTACACCAGGTTAAGTGCAGGGGTGAGCTCCTATGAGAAGAATCAAAGCGCAGCCCAAACGACGTCAATCCCGGTATTAGTATAATCTTTGTTGGAACAAGTTCCGCATGTCCTGGGCAACCATTGCTTCAAGCTTCCCGAAAATGGCATCGGCGTTAGCTCGGTGTGTTTGGACACCGATGCTGAGATAAAACGTCAGGACCTGCCATGTTGTGAAACCGATGTATAAAGTTTTGTAAACTTTGCAACAAGCGGTTCGGTGGCTTGCTCTTCCTGAACTTGCCAGATTTGCATGGACTGCAAGAAGTGGCAGCATAGCAAAGCACCAAAGAAAGAAACCTGCAATCCTTAGTGATTGAAAAGACTCGGCTTTAAGAACACTGTACTTGCATCATCAACTTCGCTGAAATGCAGGTGGGCGATAGAGAGGGTATTGAATAGGCACAAAGCAAGCGCAACCCGTGCAGGAAGCAAAACACATGCTCCCCTGTTCCTCCCTTCCTCAGCTTCTCACAGCAAAATTATAACCCTCTTTCGCACCATGACGGCTTCCATAGGCCTCAGAACAAAAGCTGTTGTGTGGAAGGTTCGGGCTATCGCCAAAAGAATTTAGTTTGTAGCTCTGGCGTTGGAAATAGCTTTGGAATAGCTTCAAGATCTTCATATTGATATGTCCTCTTCATCCTAGCGATCCAACATGTGGCTCTCAGTTGCTCAAGGCTCGAACGCGGGGTCGTAGATTTCGTCAGGCAACTAGGAACTCCAATTCATCAAGTATACATCATAGACTGAAGTACATGCAAGCCAATTCAAACAAATGCTCGTCATATACTGTATTTATTTATATGTAAATATTATATAGTTATGCAATTTACATGCATCGGCGTCAATCTGACACTCTGAGAAGCCCACTTTGTCTTCATCCGGTGGAACATATTGCTGTGCAACACGTCTCCTAGTGCGCTATGTAAGTCTTTCTAATCCTTTCAAAATGTGATAATACTCTAACTTCCGCTTCCGCCCGTCTGCATCGCAGCCATGCCCGACAAGCGTTGTTTAATGCCTCTCCTCATGTCTTGGGTAACCGTTGGTGATGACGGTTGACCCTTCTCGGACTTTTTCAAGATTCGTGCCTATCACTCAGCAAAACTCAATGCAGCTTTGATGGTTTGGCTCTGACGTGCCTCCACCAAGTGCAAGGGGACCGCTTTGCGCAAGTGAAAGGGAACATTTTCCACATCCTGGCAATCCGTGCTGTGAGGCGGTTTTGGGAAGAAATTCAATGATCCATTTACTTTACGCTTCAAAACAACCATATAGCGTGCAGTGCAAGAAGAAAAGCATAGAAAATCCAAGGACGAGTTCCTTCAATCCCGTCGTCACTCCGACTTGTTTGCACACAGCAATCCAAATACAATAATACAGCACACTGAAAGGAAGAGCTAGCCAGCCTATGAGCAGTTTTGTTCAACAAAACCCAACCAATGACTCTTGAGGTGGACAGAATTAGTGAAACGGAATTAGACATTAGACGGTTCAGAGGTGAATGCATGTCGATGTGTTGCGCAGCGTGGGTTACATGGAGATTCCTGGCAACCTAGGAACAAGTATGGTACCAATGGCACAAACCCGTACGAGACCTTCTAATCCGCATATGCAATCTCAAGCACCATAAGTTTCAGAAAGATAGTCCCAGATCTAATCTGAACTCTACCCAGGCTCCCAAAGGCTCATCAACGTTTGTCATTCTTATGTTCTTGTGGAACCAACAATTCATCTGAGACCATTTGTCTTCGATTTACTCAATCAAAGTATGCGCGACCTTATCATGAGCTTGTCCTTTTGCAAGTTCCGATTCTTTTCCTCATTGCGACAGCATCATCCAAGCTCGAAACGACTCACCCTAATTGCAACAGAAATTGCAGCTCTTGGAATTTGCATGGCACTCGCTGCCAATACCCAGCATCACCAAGCTACACCAAACAGTACTTCACCACAACGCTCGACAACGCGCAACTCGACACTTTGTTTCGATGAATTTGCCTCGTGCCGAAGGAAACCAGAACTCATGGACTGCACTTCAGTTTAATTGGCTCCAGGGGAGGAACGGTACGAGCAGGAGATGGTGCCTTTCATGCGAATGCAATGCATTTTGGACCAAGCTGTTGTCAGTGCAAAGCGTTTCAGGATACAGTGTGCAGCCGTATACTGGCAACAACGGTCGTGAACAATGATCAGTTCGGGAAGCAGTCTGATTCAAGAGAGTCACGAAGTCAAACAGGGAGACGATTACATTGCAGGCTGAACTGCTGGGAAGTTCTGTCGTGAAGAGGTGAGGACGAGACACGCCTCAGGGCAGTTGTTTCTGCTAAAGTCCAATTTGATTGTCAAGAAGGATTGAGGTTGATCGAGGTGCACTTTTGTCCTTTCCAAAACTGCAAAATCTTTAGTGTTTTCGTTGCTTCTTGCCAGGAAACAACAAATACATTAATCTTAAGGAGGTGTTGGATCCACTTGAAAAAACGTCGTTTTGAACCTTAGACTTAAACACAAATTTTCAAGCTGGCATCGGAAAGTGGTAAACCCAGCTTAGACCCTTTCCATTTCCCCGTGCAGGTCTTGTCTAACTTGTCCTTGTCCTTGCCCCTGGCTGAAGTTCTTTTCGTTCTTATTCCTTGTTCCTCCATGGTTTTAATCGAGTGGCGTGGATCGTGGTCTGAGAGACGTTTTGAACCTCGCAATCAAACGCAGGGGCATATCGGTCACTGTGCCTCCCTTGTTGTTGGTTGTCTCCTTTTGTTTCCTTTCTTGTCTCCCTTCTTGTTGGTCACTGTGTCCGCCTTGTCTCCCTTCTGTCTCCCTTTGTCTTCGGGCGTGTCTCCCTTCTTGTTGGTCACTGTCTCCCTTCTTGCGTCTCCCTTCTTGTTGGTCTCTGTGTCCCCCTTGTCTCCCTTCTGTCTTCTTTTGTCTCCTTTCTCGTTGGTCACTGTTTCCGCCTTCTCTCCCTTCTGTTTCCTTCTGTCTCCCTTCTTGTTTTCCTTCATGTTGGTCATCCCTTCTGGTTCCCTTTTCTCTCTTCTGTTTCCTTTTGTCTCACTTCTTGTTCGTCACCGTCTCCGTCTTGTCTCCTTTTGTCTCCCGTCTTGTTTCCTTTCTTTCCCCAATCAGTTTACTGTTAGGGGTTCTAAATTCTTTCTTAAGATGTGTCCGCCCTTTCTGTCACTGCTGGTGTCCGCCCTTTTCCGCTGGCCATGCAGGATTCAAAGTCATTTGTCTCCCAGGTGATTATTTTATATGTATATATATATACACTTGTCTCCGTGCCTGCACTGCTAGTGTCCGCCCTCTTCCGCTGGCCATGCAGCATTTCTATTCATTTGTCTCCCATGTGACTTCTTTACTTTTGTGTCCCAGGTTCGGTGCCCGCACTGCTGGCGTCCACCCTTTTCCGCTGGCCATGCAGCATTTCTATGCATTTGTCTCCCAGACGATTCTTTATTCCACAAACAGGTTACTGTTACTCTTGTCTCCCTTCTTGTCTCCCTTCTTGTTGGTCACTGTGTCCGCCTTGTCTCCCTTCTG